CGTAACTGGGGATTGAACTCAGGCCCTTGCGCTTGCCAGGGAAGCGCTTATTCTACTGAGCCATCTCCCTGGCCCCTAAATAACAATTTTTGAAAAGAATTGTCTATGTTTATTTTAATTTTCTTGAATCTTCTCCACCAAAACTACTCATGAACATCACAATAATTTCTACTTATCTAAATCCAATGGTCTCAGTTTTCTTACTTGGCCCATCAATATCTGACACCCTTTCTTTCCAGCACATGGTGGTTCTTCATTGTACTTCTAGGACAGTACTATCTTTTCTTTTTCTACCTTACCACTCATTTTTTCAGTCTTCTTTGCTGGCTCCTGTTGTTCTTGACTTAGCGAGGCCCACCCTTCCAACTCCTATACCTCACCAAACTCTCTGTTTGCTTATGAACTTTGCTTTATTTTTCTTTTCCTAAAGCATTTATAACTTACCATACTGTAATTTACTTAGTAAGCCAATATTAATTTATTAGAACAAAAGTTGGGAGAGTATGGCCCCTGTCCAAATCCAGCCAGTTGTTTTGTACATAGTTTTATCAGAACACAAGTAGATACAAAATCTAAAATATTTACTACCTGGTCCTTTACAGAAAAGATTTGCTGACTACTGCATTCGAACATAAACTCCAAAGGGAAAATTATCTCTTGGCTTTCTTTATTGATATATCTCAAGTTTTTATGACTCTCAAAGATTTGTTAAATTCTCTACTAAGGTACTTAGAATAGTTGGAACTATCTACTGAAGAGTGAAGTGGTATAATTCTTTTCAAAAAACAAATATTTGGATGAAAGAATAATCCCTAAAAAAGCAGCCATCACTGTTATTTTTATCTGTCATGAACAATGACAATATACAGGTTTAAACTTTTCCACAAAAGAGTATAGAAGGTTCTTATAAAATGAGCTCAATTTTCTTCCTGACCCATTGAGCATGGGTCTTTTTGTTCAGGGAAAGAAAAAAAAAAAATCTTCATGTTTCCTCAGTTTTTTTTTTTTTAGACAAGGTTTCACTATGTAGTGCAGGCTGGCCTTGAACTCCCTCATGTAGCCAATGCAGGCCTCGAACTCATGGCAATTCTCCTGCCTCAGTTTCTAGAGCACTAGTATTACAGGGTGGCACAACCGTGCCCAGTTCCTTCAAATCCTGTACTTGTTCTTTGGTTATACGCAAAAGATATGGCAGGCAAAATAAATATACAGCCTACATTTTATAGCACCTATTTAAGTTATTTGAGTTACTTTGCCTAACTCTCAAGACAGTGCCATACAGACTAAAAGATTGGTTCAGTACTCAGAAAGAAAAATAAATGCCTATTGGTAAACATAACATAGAATGTTAAATTGCACCTGGGGAGTTATTTCTAAAAGCTAAAGATCAGGCAGCATATTTAGTAAGTAAAAATGAGTGAAATCCTCTGGATGACTCTAACCTACACTTTTTAGGAAACTTACATGCTGTTCCATGACTCATGGTCACAATCTTATAAAAACAGCAGTAGTCACTAAATTCTTATCGTCAGATTATAGCACACAGAACTATGGGAAGTGGAGAAAGGCAAGATCCTAGCCCAGTGATGGTGAATGGCATGACATGTTTGCTATAATGGGCTATTTGTATCACTGAAAGCTCTAAAAAGTTCACCATCACTATTCTAGCCCTTGAAAGCCTTCATACTAATAGAAGCATTAAAAAATGTATCATACAAATTAAGTATCTCATGGCAAAAAGTTTCATATATTAAAAAGACACTATTACATTTTTAATGCTTTGGTGGGCTTCATCACTTACGTTTTCAACAGTACTGTATTTATATAATGGATGACAACTGAAAAAGTTTGCATAAATTGTGAAAACCCAGTAATTTTTTATTTTTTATTATTTAGTATAGGGTCTGTTTAACTACACAGATCGAACTTGCTTGTAGTGATTCTCCTATTTCCAGCCTCCCAAGCACTGGGATTACAGGCATGTGCCATCATGCCCAGTCTCAGTCGCCATCTCAGTGAGCCCCGGGGGCAGGGCTGGCACAGCAGGCCTGGGACCGGGGATTGAACCCCCAGCCCCTGTGTCTGCCTAAGCAGATGCTTTAATCTGCTGAACTATGAGGGCTAGCCCTGAAAATCCAATAATTTAAAAAGCACTAGAAAAGTGCAATGAAAGGAAGTCTATCATGAACTCTTTGGTATAATAAAGCAGCTCTTATGAAGATAACAACTATATCCTAATATTTGTGGTTAAATTTGAGTTTTCGTATTTCAGATTTGACAATTTCAAAAAGTGAACTGATTGGGGTACAGCTTAATAGTACATGTCTACTAAAAAAGAAGTCATTAGTTTTACCTAATGAGCATTGCAGAAGTGGATTTGAGACTGCTATGATTCAAATCTAAGTCTATAGACACACTGTTAAAAGGCCAGGTACAGTGGCATTCACCTGTCATCTTAGCTATACTCAGGAGGCCAAGACAGGCAAGAGGATCCCTTGAGCGTAGGAAATTGAGGCCAGCTAGGGCAACACAGCAAGACTATCTCAAAACAAGACAAGACAAAAAACAAAACAAAACAAACAACAACAACAACAAAAAAAAACCCACAACACAAAAGATGTATCTGGGAATTAAAAAAAAAAAAAATTCAATGACTGAAGGACAGATAGGTATTAATGCTAAAAATATTTGATGGCACTAATTATAACACCCAAAACTCCCAGGACCTACCTCTCAGACATACATTCTTAAGAACAGTATGACCAACTTTCTTTTTCTTTTCTTTCTTTTTTTTCCCCTGCAGTGCTGGGATAGGGCCTCACACATTCTGGACAAGTACTTTAACTACTGAGTTATATCCTTAGGCCCCAATTCTTAAGAAGGTAATTTCTGTGCCTTGTCTGAATGCTAAAGTCTCTAATTATAGTGAGCAAATACAAGTGCTTCACAAGACTAAAGTCATTAAGTTCCTAAGAAGAAAAACAGCTCCAAGAATTCCAAGTTTCTTTCAAGTGGCTAACAATTCATTTGAGAGATTTAACAAAACAAATAGATTCTTCACAGAAGCCACTCACTTCCTCAGTCCAAGTCTTTTTGTTGCATTCTAAGTCTAGAAAGTTTGGTTCCTACTTCAAGTCTATATGAAAATCCAACTATCTGCTAAAAACTATCCTCATAGAGACTCACTAGTTTTTCTATCCCACCCTGTTTGTATCCCGTGAGGCTTGCTTCCTTTATATACTACCCCACAAAAATCCACTTACCCCTTTGCTTGTGCATAGTGTTAGTACTTTATGGTCTTGTTCAATGTTTGTTCAGTTGTCTCAATATCCTTTATGTCTGTCCATATCAGCATCATCTTAGACTGAAAACTCCCAAGGGGCAGGGGCCATGTCTGTTTAATTCGTTTTGTACTGTGCCTAGGATAGAACCATGTACAGATAGGTGCTTAACAAATGCTTTCTGATGATGATTGGCATCATTCTCAAGGACCCTCTAGGCCACTGCTATCTTAGCACATGGTACTTGGCTGTATGTTGGGACACTTTAGTATGTGTTCCACAGGGCAATGGAATGTCATAGGACCTACATCTAACAGTCCTCTGTGGGTAAGCATCTGACTCCATCTATTACTAAAATGGATTTTAAAAAATGATTATATGGTCCCAAGTCAACAAATATGGATTTTGTCAAAGAGATGAAATAATACTTAAAACAACAAACTCAATTAAAAGTATGTGGGTTTCTTGAAGGGATAGTAGTTTTAATCTTTATCATTCATAATTCTCTTAAACTCTAGACACTAGGTTCCAAGTTTAAGAGCTTAAGTATGTTTCATTTTTGCTCTACTTCAAGTGTGAGATTTTACCACCTTTATCTAAGAAAAATCCTGCAAACTCAGGTTGTAAATTACTTTGCTTAATAACAAGATGTTAGTCATTAGATTATAAAGAGAGAAGGAATTTATTCTTAAAAGTTTTTTAGATAACCAAAATATCCTCCCACCAAACTAAAGAAAAACAAAACCTTAATAATGATACTCATCTACTTTGACTCTAGATGTATATTACATATCTATGTATCTTTTATTCTTTTGAGACATGTCTTACTAGTCTATACTGGCCTTAAATTTGCTATGTAGTCCAGGCTGTCCTTAAACTTGAGATCCTCTTGCCTCAACCTCTTTAGGGCTGGGATTACAAGTATATACCACCATGCCTGCCTAATATCTATGTATCTCTTTTCACATTACCATGAGTAATAACTACAGAATCAAAACATTAGTTCTTTACATACTTGTGTCAAGGAAAAGCTTACATTTTTTCTCGCAGAACAGAATAGCCAAAAAAAAAAAAAAGAACAGAATAGCCTATTGAATACTTACAGGCTATAAGGTCAAACACTACTTATTAGGAACCTATTCTACACACAAAAATTTATATGCATTAAAACAAATATAACTTAACACATTAGTCATTGCCTCCAAAGAGCCTATCATCTAGTTAGGGACAAGCAATAAATACATTATTAAATACAGTGGAACTTCAGTACTTATCATTAATTGGTCCTGGGAAGTGTGATGCGTATCAAACAAATTATTTGTGCTAAGAAGGGCAGCGAGTCCTAAGACAATGATCAAGTACCACACAAATGAGTGACTGGACAAAATTTTCACATTAAAATGAACTGAGTGAGTACCAAATTCAACAAGGTTCAAAAAAACTTTAAGGCAAAATTAAAAACCAGATAGATAAATGGTTAAGACAATTTTAGGCAAAGGTTACAGAGGAGATAACAGT